TTTGTTCAGTTCCTTGTATCCAAACAGGCTCCACAGCAAAGGTAGTTTTTGAGATTGGGAACAAAGCTTTTTGTTTTATTTTTACATCATTTTGTGCCTTTTTCCATTTCAGCTGTAATCCCCCTGGACTTCCCACCACCCCTGTGCCATCACCATAGTCCCATGTACCTTTCCAACCCCATTTTTTTATTCCCCACTCCTCTGATAGAGTGTCTCTGGTATATAGTTGTTCATTGTTTTTCATTTTTTCTTTATTATAATTGCTACCCCCCACCACCACCCCCCAGTCTCTTATGCTCTTGCTATTAGTGAAACCATCTGACATTTTTCTTTTTCTTTCTGACTTATTTCACTAAGCATGATCCCTTCCAGCTCCAACCATGTTGCTGCAAAAGGCATGAGTTTATCTTTTTTTGATTGCAAAGCTTTTAAGGGAAGTAGCCAGTAGCTTCTTTTTCTCTACCATGAACACAAACTTAAATGAAAAGAAGAAAGAAGGAAAGAAGAAAAAGAACTTAGAGTTTATCTACACAAAGAAACAAGTAGAGAGAAATTTTGGAATATTATGTCAGGTTCACTACATCATGCGAGGTTCACTACATCACTTCCATCATGCGAGGAACAGCATCAATCTATTATAATTAAAGCACAACGGATGTTTAATTTAATCTTATTTGTACCTACCATTTAAGGGTAAGGCCTAAATATTTGTATCAATTGTAGATATCATTAAAATTAAATCAGAAGACAATTAATACTGACATTCTGATAAATCAGGAACCTTGTTGTGGTGAAGCCAGGCTTGAAATCATGTTTAGCATTCCAAAGTTGCTTCAATGAATGCCCATGTTCTCCCCACCACACTGGGCGGTTTTCTGTGAGAACACAGAAGAAAAATGATACTGTTTTCCAAGAAACAGAATGTTTTGGAGACTGAAACACATGACTACAATTTGAATAAGACTCCACTTGCCACCTACTTAGCACATATTTTCTTTTCATCTTTTACCAAAAAAAATCACCAAATAGATAAGATTGGTAGTTGAAGAGTCTTCTAAGATAGTATCTTTGACTTACTGATGCAGTCTCTCAGTGCCTCTCTGCTCACTCTACATCAGTAGCTCCATAAGTTGTAACCCCAAGCCACCATTTTGTGAGGAGAGTAGTAAGTTACAGGTGGCCTAAAAAAATCCATTTAGTGTCTTTAGTATATTCCTTTTTCCATAAAAGTCAACATATCCTCTGCAATTTAAAATCAATTTCTTGTTCTTCTTTTACTCTTCCAAATGCAATAGTTTTGCATTTAGTCAAGGGGTCAAGAAAGATAACTGGACCAAGAAAATATATCAGTTACTAATATTTACCATTCTTTAGTAAGGCTTGTTTTATCTGAAGCCTGTAAAGTTGTTTAATCTTTTCCACCATCTCAGGGAAAGGAGAGTTGGAAAATCATCATCATTCCACAGTAACTATCAGTGGGATTTTCCATCACTATCTGGACACAAAATAAAAACCTTAAGAAGTGGATCCAATTCTTAAACTTATTTCTCGACTTACTAATAAATATGAGGAGACAACCATCCATATTTCCTTCAAATAACATCTGGTTTCTTGGCCAAACAGCTAATACCTGAAAAAAAAATTCTGAGTTTGTTCCAACAAATCTACATTTAAAGAGCTTAAAATGTGTTTATGCACTAAACATTCTTTTCTACATCTGTCTTAGGGTTCAGACATGGGACTGTGAGGCAGAATCTTAGCTAGTAATTGGAAAGAAGGCATAATATTGCCTGCTAAAAGTCAAACTGTGAAATCAACATTGGATGGAACAGGGCAGGGAAGTGAGAAATCATCACATGAAAACAAAAAAATTTCTAGAACACCAAGATTTGGTTGTGACCCCACTAAAAATATAAAGAGTATATTTATAAATCATGGAGACAAGAAGATGGTTGCTAAGAAGACTAGAATAATACCTACCAAGACTCTGTGCAGAGTAGAGAGTCTGGATAAGCAACACTGGCATAGAAAGAACCAGCTACACGACATCTCATTGGTGAAACGAACAAATTACCTTACCTTTACCTGATTATCCTTATTTGGGATGGAAAGTTCAACATTGAGCATATGGCCTAGCCTAGAGCAGGCAATAAGTAGATGCAATGAATTTGCTCCAGATCTTTGCTCACAATGTCCTGATTATAATTTGGTTTCTCACATAGTTCTGTTGATAAGGAGAGAATGACCTAGTCTTGTGGATTTGAAAATTCTAATACACATGCCTGCTACAGAAGTCATTGAAATAGAGCATTTATTTTGCTTATTCCAAATCAAGCCCCCCCCCAGAAGAAACCTAGAATGTGCTGCCAAATCAACTTTGTGAACCATAGACTGACAGCAAGTCTCTGGGTCCTGGTTATTTTCACTAGTATGGTGATGGTGGTGTTGATAGGAATAAACTTAGCCAAGTATTAAACATCTCAATGTCTCAAATATGGCAACAATCCAATAAGTTACATATTATTAATATTCCCATTTTGTAAGTGAGGACACTGAGGCTCAGTAAGCATTAGTAACTTACCAAGACTCAATTAAGAACTGAGATTCACACCCACATTTGTTTGATTTTAAAGCTTAATCTCTTAAATTGTAAACTACCTCTCAGAAGACAAGGCCCATCTTTTTCCTGGCCACTCTTCTCCATTTCAGCAGAATTTTTTGGACCAGTTCAATTCATCTTTACATGACTATTCATCATTTGAACCACAAAGTGTCACATAAGTGCCAGAAAGAGTAATAAACTGATCCCTAATCAGAAGTGTAGAAAGTCTAAATGAATGTATCACTATATATTGCATGCACTAAGCCCAAAATTCTTAACTTCTACCTCCTACCACCCCTGCCACTATACTGTGAAATCAATAAACCTCTTCAATACTTCCCTGATGTGTCTGCTCCTCACTACACTATTGCCACTACCCATTTTTCACTGGACCTCTACAAAGATATCCTAGGTAACGTTTTTGCTTCTATTCTTGCCTGCCTTCATTCTCACTGATGTATCTAATCTTTAAATCCTCCTCTTTAAAAATTCTTCAGTGAATCCCCAACCTGCTCATCATACTTTGTGCTTTTGTCCTTATAGTGATTGGCTTGCAATTTCTGGAATATACATGGCCCTGTCCACAACAGCATATACACCTAACCTGGAAGAAATCCACACCTACCGAGACCAGTCTTCCCTCTATACACCCTCCCCCCACTCCCCTGGACACCCAGTCAACTTGTAATTTGGTACTGGCTTTGGTGCTTATGTAGCCTTTGGTGCTGGCTTGTTTCACCTCCTCCAGGAACTCTGGATGCCCTTTCTGAGATGTTCTCAGCATACCCAGCTCATCCCTCACCTAACTCTATGGGAATTATGATTTATGAGATTCCACCTTAGGCTATGACCAGACTATGGAACCTAGGAACCATTCTGTTTTATATAATACGTGTTATAGGTATTATATAAAAAAGAAATCCTTGTTGAGTGAATGAATGAATTAAAGCCTGATATATCATATCTGTCAGAATTTACCCAGCTTCCCCAAGTCCCAGATGTGTGGTCTTCAAAAAGTTGCCTACTCTTCCTATACCTCAGATTCTCTGTCTCTAAAATAAAGTACACAAAACCTACACTTGTCAAATTTGCTGTGATATTTAAGCCAAATCATAGACTATGTGGAAAGCATTCAGCACCATGCCTGGTATATTAAAAAGGCTCAAATATTGTTTATTGTTATTATTACTATGTTGCTATTATTGTTATTATTACTATGTACTAAGAGACCTAACCAAATATGTTGATGTTCTTGGAAATCCTCCCAGATAGTTCCAGTACTCTGTCTTGGGCCTCTTCAGTCCTCCTGTTTTCATTTCATGTCTATTATCTTACACTCTTGAATATACTACTCCAAAAGGTTCTGTCACTCCTGTACTTTCTTCAAAATGCCTAATACTTCAACAAATGAAATACTGAGATTTACTGCAGATCTTACAATGCACTAGAGCCTTAATGCGTGACACCACCTAATGATACAGATGTCACATAGAGAGTTCAGCATCACCCTGCCAGGAACACACACAGAAACCAGATGGATGGAAGAGGCAGGTGGTGATCCCAAAATAGAAATCAACACCTAAAGGGGTCAGAGCAAAATCAGCCCAAGGAAAGTGACCCCTTGTCACTTATTCTATATTTCTATATTCACAAATATAGAAAGGTGAATTATCTGATCAGTAGTTAAAAAAAAATTATAGCATAACTCCTTTATTTAACTTTGTGCAGCCATTAAAAATAGAGGCCAAGTAATGACAAATAAGAACACATAAGAGATTGTATTACATGAAAAAGATTAGACACTATATGTGTTTTGATCACAGTGTGTAAAACTTACTTTAAATTTTAAGTGAGTAGATCAAAAATTTAATAGTTGTAATAGTTTAATAGTTATAACAGATGAGTTGGTGGGGGATATTTCTTTGATTAATTCCACACCTTTTGAATGTTGTCATAGTCCTTTAAATACTAAAAAAAAAAAAAAAAAAAAAGCAAAACTTCTTTAAAAATAGAAATTGTGTGTGCTTCTCTTGCAAATGGCTCCTGGGAGAGATGAGATAGTGGGAAAGCCTCCTCTTAATAGAGCTGAAGTGGTCTGCAGGAGCCGAAGGCCTGACTCAGCAGCGTTGCAGACACAAGTAAACTTAGACCTGGGGATGACCCAACAAAGCCTCCCCACCCCTGTCTAGTTCTTTCTTCACTGACCATCGCCCAAGGGGTATCGCTGAATGGACCTTTGGTGGGCCCAGCATGACCTTGGTTTCTCCCAAGCGATCCTCCTCTCGAAGTTTCTGGTAGGAGGGAGGCGCTATGAGCAACTGGAGGAGCCACGGTGCAGCCCTCAAGATCTCATTCCTACACAGACCACCCCTGGGCGCCGACCCGCCGTCCCGCATACCTCTTGCAGGGGATCAGCGCCTTCCTCTCCTCCAGCACCCGCACGCGCTGGTTGAGCCCATCGTAGGAGAGCTGGGCGCGGCTGTTGCGCCCGGTGTTTTGCTGGTACAGAACCTGGCGCCCCTCCCACTGCTGCGGCGCCTGGCATGGTTGCGGTTCTCTCGGGGAGACCTCGGCCCAGGCCCACGGTGCAGCTGCCCCCAGGCCGCAGAGGCTGCCCAGGGCCCAGATCCAGAGGCCTCCCATCAGCCAGGCGCCCACGGTTCTCGGGGTCGCCCGGAGTAGAGAGAACGCTGGCATCTCGGTCCTCCTAGCCTGGCGTTCCGCGAAAGTCAGCCCCAACCCAAGGAGGCGCTGAGCTGCCTCAGCGCAGCGTGACTGACCCGCGCACAGGCAGCCTCGCCTGGCTCTCTCGCTCTGTGCTGGGGTAAAGTGAATAGGTGAAGCTGCTGCCAGCCCTTCAAGGTTGTTGGAATCAGGGCGTGCAAGGCTGGGGAGCCGGTCCCTGGGAGGCTCTGGTGAATCGCGCGAGAGCTATTTCTTTCTGGGACACGGGGCCGCTGCAGCTTCTGTTTTCAGTTGCTCTCTGCTGCCAACAGGAAATGCAGTGGCAGTGGTGCCACTAGCATCCTGAAGAGCATCATCAGCATTTAAATGCGGATGGCGGATGGGTATGTTTCTTAACTAATTTAACTGTTCACCAGGTACCAAGTCACTGAAGGACAAGGTCGAGTTCAGGAAAGAAGGGCTGGTGCACTTGGTCAAAATCTGCTCCTCCTTCCTCCGAATTTAAAACAGAAAGAAGTGTACCTTCCTGAAATTTTTATACCAGTCACTGGTTATGATTATGTTACTGCCCTACTACCAGTACTGAGTCAGGGAACGTAGGCCAAGCCCTCCAGGAAACTGCCTAGAAACCACAGTTGCAGCGAGTCTGCTCCTTTCACCCACCCACTAATAATACCACAAGGCTGCAGGTGTGCATGTCTGGGGGTTTAGCATCTTAAGGACATGGTTAACTTGGTTGATAGTTATGTTAAGTTCTATAATGTGAAATTGAAAAAAAAAGAACCAACTTTAAGATCCTCGCTTTCCAAATTTATTTGATCGGTATTTCAAATCAAATTTTCATTTGAGTTGCCTTTCAAGAATGAGGAAGAGTAAGGCAGGTGAAAGTGAAGGGGGTAGCATTGTTGGATCAAAGATATGAGACAAGAAAATTAATGCAATGCTGGGGGATTCAATTATGAGGCAGAGAGTAGAAGCAAGGTCATTCAGGGCCTTGAAAGATATTTTAGGGGTTTATTAAAACTGAAAGAAGTTGGAGTCATTAAGTTTAAAGCTAGAGAAGGGCATTATAGGATATCTACTGTGGGAAACTCAAGTATCAGTGTGACTGGTAATGCAATGCTGAAAGATGTTATAATACTGACTGATACTATCTGAACTAAGGTTCTATAGTAGGAATGGAGAGAGTGGAACAGAGAGAGACTATAGAAAACGATTTAGACTCAGAGGAAGATGCTTCTGGTTTGGGCCATTGCGATTTCAATACTGATGGAGGAAAGTTTAATTCAGGGTAGGATTGGATGATTTTAAATAACTGTGGAATATGCAAGTGGAAATCCCCAGGAAACAGTTGGTTAAACATTTCTAGAAACCAGCATAGCTAGGATCTGAATTTAGCAGTCATTGACATCTAAATGGTAACTGAAGCCAACAATAAAATAGTGGTTCTGTATCCAGGCTGATTTTACCCCCACAGTGGACAGTTGGCAATATCTGGAAACATTTTTGATTGTCACAATGAGATGCAAGGAATTAAGTACCACTGCCATTTAGCAGGAGGTGAGGAATACTACTAAATAGGCAGGCCTCCTTACCACCATGCACAACCTAAAAAAGAATGATTCAGTCCCACTGTTTTTACAAAAATAATACCTAGGTTGTGAAATCTGGAGTATCAGGGAATGTAGAGACTGAAGATGGAGTCCTAGAAAACTGCATATATTTCATGGATGGGCAGAGAAGTAGGTACTTGAAGAGACTGAAAAGGAGGCACCAGAATAATGGCACTGAGCAGGGGAACTTCCTTAGTTCACATGAACTTTTGACAAATCAATATCGAATACAGGACATGGGGGTAAAATATTAAAGCCAGGCATGAAGATAGACAGGATGAGAGAATTTGATGAACCCCTTACTGGTGCCTCCTGCCATGACAAAGACATGATGGATAGACTACAGGGGACTTCATGGAGAAAAGCAAACAGCTTTAAAAATAGGAAATTTTAGCTTTAAGTTTGTTAAAGGACTTGCCTTTAGATAGCATGAGAGAAGCACCTGAAATATTATGACTTGGTACTTGCATAGTTTAACAAATGTGTCAGGTTCAAACTAGCTGCAGAGGTTTGAACACTCTCCACATCTGTTCTTCTCAACCAATTCACTGGAAAGGAGCAGGGAGTTCAGTTCTTTCTCAAAATTGTTTTCCTTCTTTGCAGGAACTCTGGCTGAAAGTCTTTTTCACTATGCCAAGATTCACTGGATGCTACTCTGGATATAGCTTCAGACTTCATCTGAACTTGGCCAACAGGCACCTTAAAAAATGTTCATCATCACTTACCATCAGGGAAATGCAAATCAGAATCACAGTGAGTTACCACAGCAGTGAGAATGGTTCATATAGAAAGACCAGAAACAATAATTATTGTGGGAGCTTGGAAAAAAAGAACTCCTCAGACACTTTAGGTGGGAATGTGACTAATCCACATCCTGTGGAAAAGAGTTTGGAGGTTTCTCAATAAAAATGGCTCTATCATAGAACCCAACAATTCCATTCCATTCCTGAAGGAAAAATAAAAAATAAAAAATAAACCCTAACTCATAAGAATATGTTCCCCTCTGTTCATGGCAGCACTGTTTTTAATAGCCAAGCTAAGGAAGCAACCTAAGTGTGTAAAAGTAAATGGATTACAATATGTGATATATCCACACTATGAAATCTGCTTAACTATTAAAAAAAGATAAACTCTTGCCATTTGTGACAACATAGATGGAACTGGAAGGGATTATGCTAAGCAAAATAAACCAGAAGGAGAAAAAAGAATGGATGTGGCTACTTATATGTGGGATAAAGAGAAAAGAAAGGATCAGACAAAACCAAACGAACAACAAACCCTAGAAATCTGACTGTGGAATAGAGGCTACAAGAAGAGGAGCAGGAGGGGAAAAACAAAGAGTGGAGGAGGCACAATGGGCTATGATGGAGGGCCGAGGGGGCCTTGGTGGTGGCTATATCTCAAGAGGTGTGATGCTTTTGAGTCATACACAGTGGTGTTAACTAGTGTTGCCTCAACTAGAGTAACAGTAATATGTCATCTGAGTCATCCTCTTCGCTCTACGTTTCACTAGTCTGGTTTGAACTCTGGAGCTTGACATCTATTCCAAAATATATTGAAATGCTGGTTTAGATTGGTCTATCTCCATCTGGACTCCCTGGTCTTCACTTAAGTAGAACTGAACTCCTTGGGTGAATCCTGAAATATATATGTAGTACATATACTTTTAATTTCCATGTTCACTAAAAAGTAAGACAATGCAGTTAAAGTGCACAACACCATGACTAACCCATTGCAAATGGTTAGTCTCACTTGTGCTTTTCTTTTCCCTTGGGCTATTTTAATCCTCAGTACTGGTTAAAGTCAGTATTGAACTAACTTTATGATCTCAAGTTTTGGAGACAAGAAAAACATAACCTCTCTTACAAAAATCTAAGTTCAGATATCCATTTAAACTGTTTTAAAATATTAATATTCACAGATGTTTTTAATGTCCTAGGAAAATATCACATACCTAAAGTCTTAAAACCTGAAAATTGACCAAGGATGCAACAAAAGGCCTTCTTTTTCTGTGAATAACTAAACTAGCAGTTGGTTTTATGACTTCTTCCTGATAAAAATATAAAACAAGACATACATCCTTGCTTTCATGGTACACAGATTTCTCATAATTACTTTTCTGAGCTCATCAACAATCAAGATTTTGGTCTGTGGGTTGGAAATCTCTTAACATGAGGAGGGACAGAAAAGCTTAGAGATTGTGGTGCCCTAAGTTTCCTTTGTTTTCTGCTGAGTTGCATTCATGTTGGAGAGAGGAATAGAGACTAGGAAGGGGCAGGAGGAATATGTAAAACACTTCCCGAACTGAAGATGCTACTTACTGTACTTTAAGGCAGTTCTGTCCCTGCAGCAGGTACGAACCAAATGCTATTTTGGAAAAACGTGGGACCAAACTAACGTCTGCTAAGCCACAGCACAACAACAAAAAATCTTGAGTTAGGCTTTTTGTCCATCTGTTCCAACAATTACTGCGCTCTCTCCCTGCTTGGCTCTTTCTGTGCCCCCTGCCGGAGAAAGCAAGTACATTTCATATTGAAAGGAGAGACTGGCCAGTGCCCCTCCAACTGTATACTCCAAGTCGCAATGTTCAGTTTGACTCAGAGTGTCTTGAAATTCCCGCTTGCACCTTTTTGTCCGAAACGACTGCCGAAGGCACTTTTTGTCTATTCCAAGTAAGAAGACCCACCAGATTTGGGGGAAATCAGGATTCCAGACCTCGGCTGGCCCTGAGGAGATGATGTCACCGCTTCTGCTGAGAGGGCTGGGGGTGGAGCAACCGAGGGGGAGTCCGCGCCGCGCCCGCAGCTGTCAGGGGAGCGTGCGAAGCCCACGTCAGGAGGGTTTCGTGATAAATAGGGTCCCGAAATGGCCGAGGGTGGCTGCGCTCGGTGCTGCGGAGTCCGGGACTGGAGTTCCTCAGGTGGGTTCGTGCCCGAAAGACTGAGCGCTGTAGCTGCTCTCTCTTTGCGCCTGGGAGGGCAGATATCCCCCGCTGGCCTCCGCGGTCCCGCATCGCTGCCTACGGGACGTGGGAAAGGGAACCTCCCCTGTGCCCCTGAAGTTTGCCTCGCTGAAGGAAGCGCACAACTATAGAACAGAAAGCTAGGGAGGGGCCTGCTACCTATCCGGATCTCGGAGACTCAGGACTGTGCAATGCTACTTTTCATCCTGACGGCTTTGTGCCTTTGGCTGCGCTTAGCGCTGGGCGTTCGCGGCGCTCCCTGCGAGGCGGTGCGGATCCCCATGTGCCGGCACATGCCGTGGAATATCACGCGGATGCCCAACCACCTGCACCACAGCACTCAAGAGAACGCCATCCTGGCCATCGAGCAGTACGAGGAACTAGTGGACGCGAACTGCAGCACGGTGCTGCGCTTCTTCCTCTGCGCCATGTACGCGCCCATATGCACCCTGGAGTTCCTGCACGACCCCATCAAGCCCTGCAAGTCCGTGTGCCAGCGTGCGCGCGATGACTGTGAGCCGCTCATGAAGATGTACAACCACAGCTGGCCAGAGAGCCTGGCCTGCGATGAACTGCCAGTCTATGACCGCGGCGTGTGCATCTCGCCCGAGGCCATCGTCACTGAACTCCCGGAGGGTGAGAACCAAGGGGAGGCTACAAAGAGTACCTTTGACTCTGCGTGCCTAAACTTACAGTTGCCAGGATTGGTCAGCGCCCCACCCACTTTCAAGGGACCGAGGAGGTTTGAAGGAGTAGGGCAAGACTTACTTCTAGAAATGTTTAGTGACTTCTAGAAATGTTTAGTTTCCTTGGGAGCTGAGGAAGAACACCATTTCTCATAAAGATACCTGGGGAGAAAGGAGAGGGCAGATTTTTCTACAGTGGGATGTTTTTATTTACAGCCACAACAAAATGTATATAGGGCTCACAGTGTGTTTGAGACAGCATTGAACACTTTACATGTATCATTTAATGTTTAAAACAACCCTACTAGGACTTACCCTTTAGGGTTAACTCTTGAAAGCTTTATGCAAAAATAGTACCAGTCATCAGGCTGTACTGGGATTGCGGTTTGCAAATTTAGGCGTTCTTGAAAATTAAGATGTCTGTTTTATGGTCATTGATCGGGAGCCAGAATCTGCGCCATCTTAATTAATTAACTGGATCTCAATTTCTACCTCCTCCTTTTTTCTGTGGTTCTTTTGTTGTTTTTCTAGGAAGAAAGGAGCAGGTATTTGTTTACTTTTTGAAATGAAACCTAAGAATAATTTTATATTCTTCTAATCCGTGGCCTAGTTTAATGCACATTTTAAAAGTGTTGGTTTGGTATAGTTTCTGAAGTTACACCTCAGAGCATTCCCCAAGGCATGAAGGAGGAACAGTAAAGGGAAAAATTAAAACTCCTAATTCAGAGTTTTAGGGGGAAAATCATTTATTGCTTAAATCAATCAAATAATGGAGGGTCATGCTTATTTGAGGCTCTGTGGCTGTGGACTGCTTCTACAAAATGTAAGGTGAAGGTTTGGAAATATTCTGATTAGTTTGATTAGTGTAAACTATCAACTTGGAATTCAACACTTTAAATTGCTTTGGGAAGGAGTAATGTAATTTATCTAGAGGGCCAGGTTAAATGGATATGTGTTTTCACACCAGCTTTTGCTAGATAAGCAGGTCTCGCCTGAAGTCATCTTACCTAAGCCCAAGGATTTCTACATGAAAGTAGTTGACAATTGCATGCCATTTGTACTACTTAGTATTATTCTTTTGTGATGCTATGTTAGTTTATGATCTTAGATAGTCCCTTATACCAGTTGAGTGAGCAGACTAAATCACTGACCTACATGGCCCTGTGTTTCAGATGTTAAGTGGATCGACATCACACCAGACATGATGGTACAGGAAAGGCCTTTGGACGTGGACTGCAAACGCCTAAGCCCAGGTGCGTTCTTTTTCTTCAAAGCTCCTTCTCTTTCTCCTCTCCAGGGCATTTCTTGAGTCCTCTCAACTTTTGTCTTGCTTTTGTCTTCTTTAGACCGGTGCAAGTGCAAAAAAGTTAAGCCAACTCTGGCAACATATCTGAGCAAAAACTACAGTTATGGTAAGTCATGTGAGGAAGCTCTCATGTTGGGACTTAGCATGTTTGAAAACAAGTTTGCTAGTTACCAACTAAGGGGAAGGCTAGTGACTTTTCTAGTTAATTATTTGAATTATAGCTGGCATAATAACAATTATATCTTACTTTTCTGGGTAAATCTAGTAAAAAGAAAGTGAGTCACCTAGCTGAGAATAGTGAGATGGATTAGATTGCACAGTTGTCTCCTGGATCCTACTTGTCTTGGTAGAGGTACTTTTCAGACAGAACAGTGTGGCCCCACCTCTACCTTTCAAAAGTTGCAGGAAGAATAAGAGAGTAATCCATGAATTTGCTATCTGAGGTCCAGAGTCCCAGGAATTAGGTTTTCCCCATGTATCTTTTTGTTTTAAAAGTTACAGATATTTGGTGTTTTATGACTGTTAGAATATACTAACCACAACACTCTGGGGTTACAAGCATTGACAGAGTTAGAATGTCCTCCTCTCTTATTTGAAAGAACCTGTCAGCATTTCATTAAATAATAGGTTAATCATGTTATTTCGGATGTTTTAAGTAAATTAAACTATACTGTCATCAGTTGAAAGTAAACTTAATTGAAAATGTATTCTTTTAAAATACCAATTTTGGTTATTTTCTTTTTTTAATTTCTTAAATTACTTCTGAAGTAAACTATTTTGGGGGAAATGTTCATTTTAATTGCTAAGTTAGATTTTCATATTTTAAACTAAAACTTTATATCACAAGAAACCCTATACATACATACATAAAAGACATGAATGTAGGAAAATCATGGCATTAAAAAGCTTAAAGAAAAGATCCTCTTATTTACGTCATTAGATTTGATCATACAGGGCCAATGTGGGTAATACAAGCAAGAAAACACATCATCTTTTCTGGTGTCATTACTGTTTTATACTAACTTATTTTATGTAGTTATTAACTTCATCTGATGTACTTAGTCCCTCATCTGACACTTACCAGCCTTTGTTTATCAACCCGAGTTTAGCTTTCCTGCTGTTCTCTGGGGTCATTGCCTCATAACTTCTTTGATGATGAAACCATTTTCTATTTAAGCCCTTCATAAACAAGGTTTCTAGGACAGAATCCAAGATAGACCTGCACTACGCTGATTATAACTCCACAGGAAGCTGTGAAGTAAAGGAAACAAAAAAGCCAGAATCCAAAGTATGATCAGACACAGTTATATTAATAGCCATGTAATAATAGTCCTGCCTCTGCTCCCAGTGGACTTTAATTTGACTGTCAGAAATAGTTGAGAATAGTTACTTTTCTCCAGAACAGCAGAACTGCAAGTGTCAGATGAGTGACTGAACCATGCAAACTTTAAAAGTGGTTTCAAATCATCACAATGCACAGTATAAACAAATATTTATGTCTATGAAATTTTTATAGATGTTCTGTATAATTAAATTTTGTAATTTTTTTTGGCCAAAGAAAGCAACTTTTAGAGTATTAGGGCTAAAAAAAATCTGTGGGATTCTCTAATAAATCCAACCTTCAGCCCAATCAGGAGCAGACTCCAGACAAAGTCTGCTTTTCAATTTCTTATACTTTGCAGCATGATTTCACACTTTTAACACAACCTTGACAGTATGAGAGTCTTGGCATTAAGCATATAACTATGTTGGCTCTTTGGACATCTTGAACATGGCCATCATTACACAGAAATTCTAGAGTTGGTGTGAAGTGAATAACCCACCTGGATTTCTCTCCAAAGGCTTCAACACTCTCATAATAACTTTTAAATTGCAGTTATTCATGCCAAAATAAAAGCTGTGCAGAGAAGTGGCTGTAATGAAGTAACCACAGTGGTGGATGTGAAAGAGATTTTCAAGTCCTCATCACCTATTCCTCGAACTCAAGTTCCGCTCATCACTAACTCTTCCTGCCAGTGTCCTCACATCCTACCCCATCAAGACGTCCTCATCATGTGTTATGAGTGGCGCTCACGGTAGGCATGCAGGGGCAGAATAAAATTACACACTAATGACAAAAAACATGAATCTAACTTAACAGCGATGATTTTTCAAAAATGGCATCAGTAGGTCTTTTTTAAAAGTAGTTTTAATTAATGCCTCTGTTGAATATCAAGTAACCTAAATATCATTAAATTCTTCATTTGAATGAAATCTTTAAAAGTCAATTTTAGAAGAATAAATTATTTCAAAAACGTATAAGTAGATAAATCACCTTGAATAAAAACAGTTCTTTTCAAATCAATCAAATCAGTCAGTGTGGCAAATAATGAATTTTTAAGAGTTCTCCTTAATAACTTACAGATCAAGATTACTATCTGAGGCTATAGTTCTAATTTCCTTATACACATTTAGTTTGCAGTGTTTGGCAGAGCACAACAAACTCTTCCTCTCTCTCACATACACACTCTTATGTCTCTTGCTACCGATATATTTCTTCTCACAGTTGTTTCCTTGGCATCTTTTTCTATATGTTGAGACATTCCTTATATCATAAAAATCAAACATTTCTGTACAATTCAGGATGAGCCCCATCACTTGTTATAATAAAGTTCATTTGGGTCTCCCCGGTGGTTTAGAAGTCAAAGTCTCAGCTCTATCAAGCTCTTGCCAGCCACTGCAACTTGAGTTTGATTCTTGCCAGGGAAATAACCCATATGGCACAGAAGACCTCTCCTTTCTCAACCGCTGCTCCCCTCAGCAGTGTACTCACTAGATCTGCCTGTTCAGCTCCCCGCTCTTGTCTCTGATGACTCCTCTCTTACCCTGTACCTCTGCATTACACCCCAGTTCTTCTATTCATAAATACATCAAAATAAATCTTTAATAAAATTTTAAAAAGTTCTGCAGACTTACTGATTTTTAGGAACAGGTCATCTCTTGAATTCTTTGCCATGCACACTCATTTGTTTACTGGATAGAGTTCAAGGCAAAACAAAACAAAAATAATTCACCCTTTGAAACCTACCTTACTGAAATACTATCTTGTTGTACTTTCTGTCCGTATTTGCTCCCTTCCTTAAGCTACATATGCTGCCTTTATCATGAACTTGAAGTTGTTCTATTCATAGTTTGTATCTCTGCAGTAGCTGAATGAATGAATGTTGAATGAATGTTTCTGGGTCAGTCTCATGTATGATGTTTGAATCCATTACAGTACTCTAATGGATTTAGTTCCTGGGGTGTACCAAGTTGCTAGTTAATTCTGTTGGAAAGATGAGTGGATTATAGGAGTATTAGGGAACAGCCTTTGTGTCATCCTTTCTGTTAGTTTATAGATTTAATAAAAATCATAGCAATTTTTTTTGGGATGATTGGAATTTATGACTTCACAGATGATACTAATGATAATTTGGAAGAACGAAATGGTAAAGGCATGTCAAGGAGATTTTGAAAATAAGAGGGATGAGTAAAAACCTGCTTCTGAGACAAAAAAAAATGTGTTTAAACCATATGGTGTAAGAGTAGCTTTATAGATAATTAAAGCAAGAAATGTTCTTGAAATGAATTCTAATGTGTTATAATACATACATTATGAAGGAAATGTGGAAACTCAATTGGAAATGTATTTTATTATTTTGTAAAAGTTGTAAATATTTTATTGAAAAAATAGTATATTTTCACTTTATCATCATACTATAAAATACATTAATTTTAAAAATTAATAAACAAAACAATAAACTATATTATAGCTGAATGGTAAAATACTTTGTAAACAAAAGTAATATATTACTAGAAAAAATATACATACACATTTTTGAGAACATAACATTGTGCATATAAAAATCATACAAAAAACAAAATCTGAGAAAAATACTTGAAAGAGGTATCACAAAAGAACAGTAACATACTTTATAGGTAGTTTAAATTTATATACAATATAAATTTATTCAAAATGTTAAAATGACAACATATGTGTTCATAAATTCACACAGCAAAGTTCCAAAGAAATAAGAAGTGCAGCATTAAAAGATCTTTACGTTCTTAATTCTCCTATCCAAAAAAACAAGATTCAATTTTTTTATAAGTAAAAGATATGTGTATTATGGGATTGCTACTGAAGAATTCTGGTCTTTATAATTTTGTTGTAACTTTAAGCAGTTTACTTTTATAATAAAAGAAATTATTTGTTATAATTTACTTTTTTTCAGGATGATGCTTCTTGAAAATTGTTTAGTTGAAAAATGGAGAGATCAACTTAGTAAAAGATCAATAGTAAGTATGATTAGCAGTGTTATGAATAATGTAATTTATGTGCTTGTAAAGAGATTCTATAGTTTTTAGGAAATTCTTTACATTCTTTAATCTCTAGGTTATCATAAAAGCAGGCAATAGCAATGTTTATCTTCTTAATAAACAGTTAAAAGTATAGCTACTTTCACTTGGAATCTTTATTATATGTCCATCTTCAACATCAAAGTTATTTGGATGCATTCAATATTTATTTACTGCTTATTTCCAGATTAGTTTTTTTGTTGTTTGTTTCTGTATTGCATTAGATTTACTTATTTTAGCAAACAGTCACATACTTGAGAAAAATTAATGTCCTCTGGGATAAAAACAGACATACAGATGCAGTTCTGTGAATACCTAGCTCTAAAACATACAATCCCTTTACAAAACAGAATCTCTTAGTATTTAAAACAATTACAGACTTTGTCAAAACATGGCTACTCCTACTGAGTGTACTTATGAAAAACAAAACCAAACACTATTGTTACATCCAAGCTAAAAATTTAGGAGCTGCTCAAGGGCATGCTAAGTTTCACCTGACAAAAAATTCTAGCAGAATTGGTTATATGGTTTCCAGGTCTACAGTAGATGAGAAGTATTGATATAGAAGACAAATCCACCATAAGGAAATGAGAATTTTAAAAGGAAAGAAAGCTTCCAGAAATCATACCTGTTGGGCACATTGGTCTCTTACAGCAGCTATTCCAATATACTTGAGTAAGAATTTGAAAATAACATCCTATAATAGCAATTTGCAAAAATGTTTATTAGTTTAAAATAGTCTAGAATTGGATGCTAGGAAGGTAGAGATAAGTGTTCTTCATCTCATTGCATCTCTATTTTTCAATGACTGACTTATAGTAGTGCTCAAATTGTTTTTTTGAAGATGTCTTTTTTTTAAATCAAAATGTTATTGATTTTCCACCCATTCACAAAAATGTTTTGCACCTCAATTTGTACATATGCTTTACTTGTCCCCATCAAAGCTCCAGTGCCAATACCCTTTCACCTTACCCCCTCTTTATCCTTCTCCCTCATTCCTTTCCCTGCTGCTGGTAACCACCAGTCGCTGCATTATTTTTGTTGTCTATTTATGAGAAAAACTTTTTGCTGAGAAAAATATATTATAAAAAGTAGTGCCTATTAAGGTAGATTCACTTTTCTTGTTTCATTAAAAAAAAATAATACTTATTTCTATAATAAATATTAGCAAAAACCTTTCTATCGAAGAAACAATTATCCACTTTCCACTGGCCTTGGGTAGCAAACATGATACTAATTGTGGGTGGGGCTTGTTTTTTTTTGGAAGGTAAAAGAAATAAGTGAACCCATAATTGTGGTGAGAGACCCATGACTTGCCAGCAAGGCTGGATAAATGTCTGCTTTGCTCATGTCAAAACTTTGTTGCATAGGAATGTCACATTATAGGACCCATGGGGGAAAAAATGCCTGGAGTAGGGCCCTAGAATTAAACTGGTAACCTTGATTCTCAGCTCTGACATCTGCTGTGTGACCTTCTGCACATAATCTGGGTATGACTCTGCAAATAACTTTGTTTTCTGGCCATGGCAATGGTGTCCATGTAGAAGGGCTTGTGAGTTTCAGTGAAACGAATGCAGGTCAAAGCTTCATCTGCTATGTAAGGAGCACTTCCTAAATCATCTGACACATGGTAAGTGCTCAATAACATAGAGTATCAATTTCAATTGTTGCTGTAACTATATTTAGTACAGTGAACATTTTTATTAACCATAATTTAACAACATAAAGAAGTGAAATATATTTGACAGTTTTATTTGCAAATTGCCTCCCAGCAGTGGGAAGAGAGGCTTCAGGAACAGCGGAGAACAATTCAGGACAAGAAGCAAACAGCTGGTCGCACAAGTCGTAGTAACCCCCCCAAAGCAAAGGGAAAACCGCCTGCTGCCAAACCAGCCAACCCCAAGAAGAACATTAAAGCTAGGAGTGCCCAAAAGAGAACAAACCCAAAGAGGGTGTGACCTCAATTCTTTCCAGAATGGAGAATTCCCTTTAGGGTGAAGCCAAGTGACACACTCCCTACCATAGAAGACAACTGCAGTATTCCTCATAGACATATCAAGCAGTATTTTCCTCAACGATAAGCTCCAATTTTTCTTTGAAACCATCACAAGCCATAGTGGGATGACAGGTAATATGAAAATTGATTGGAAAACAAACAAAACTGTACATACTCTGGAGCTCTCCATGTAAAGGAAAGGTGATTTTGTTCTTACAGTTTGACCTAATCAGTATCTTTTAAAATAAATCTCATAAACAATGTGCCTTTTTCAGTTTGGCTTGTTAGAATGTTAGCAATATTTTGACATGCGATTGAAAACAGTGCTTGTACGAAGGAAAGTAAGGGTGGATGTTTCAAAGAGCTTTGTATGTTTACTGTTAGCAGAACAATTTCTGCGATACAAGGAAAGTTTTGAACACTAAAGAAAAGCAAAATATGGAAAAATTGTAGTTTATACAAAGGTGACTTTCTGTTCTGTGTTTAGCTAGAAAACTCTAAAAAACTAAAGTAGTAATAACAATAAAGAAAGGGAACAGTAGGGGCCGTCCTGGTGGGGCAACCCTTAAGCGAAAGGGTTGTGAAACTAGCCACAGCTGCCTTAGCAGGCGTTGGATCTGGGCCCCACATGGCTGGCAGACCTCTCCTGACCCGCCTGCTGCTCCCCTCAGCAGTGTACCTTGTCAGTCTACCTGTTTTGCTCCCCACTCTGTCTCTAGTGAATTTTCTCACCACCCGTGCACCTCTGACTTGTACCCCAGTTCTGTATACATAAATAAATGAAAAGAAAGAAAGGGAACAGTAGAGAGACAATATCTCATTCCTTGTTTTCTGGTTACCCAGCTGTGTAGGAAGTATCTGATTGTACATTCACATGCTTCACCTACTTTTAAGTAGCACCACAAACAGATTTTAGTCTGTAAAAGTAGTGCCCCCTATTTTATAACTGGTATATATGATGCTTACCTTGCTTCCAAGACATCTTAAATTTCTTAATATGAACACTGACTGCTAGTGCTTACAGGGAGCCCTTGGTCTGAGGTGGAAGGGCCCCTAGTTTCAGCATGCTGAAACATCACCGCCAACACCAGCTCTGTGCTAGGTCACTAGCCCACCCACTCCTCAAGGATGAAGAGGAGAAATATGAAAGCTTAAAAGCAATTTACCCCTCAGATTTACCACTGTCCCAACTTCTCAAAGGGGTAAGTTACATTCACCCAAGATAGTACTCTGTAGCTTTAAGGATGCAAAAGAGGGGTGTGTGGGTGAGCCAAGGGAGAGTGGAGAAATAAGGCAAATGAGAACACTGATATAGCATCCATTTCCTAAAAACATAACTTGCCCTATAGTGCTCTTCCAGGGCAGTGAGTTAAAGGAATCTAATAGATTGACCCCACACAGGGGTATGAATAAAGTACTTGGGATGTGTTTCTGCTATTTAAAACCTCTTTTGTCTTCATTTCACTACTAATTTAATTACTTTATATTCCACATATTATTGACATTTACTCTTGATAGCTGATACAGACCAGAGCACCAAGGGGAAGAGGGGGAGAAGGGAGGGTGAGAACATAGAGGGTAACAAAGGTCTATGTTGGTGCAATATTGGTGAATTGGTTGTAGGTGCAATATTGCGGTAATACCTGATAGGGGGCCCCATATTGTCTTAGTTAAAAATTATACGAAAGTAATGTTTTATTACAAAATAAAAATAAAGACATTTAAAAAATAAAGTCTCTTTTGTCCTCCTGCAGGACAGATAGCTTGTTGTAACATCCAGATGAAAGGAACCTAGGGAAGGTTCTTAAAATGCAGTGACAGCCTCACTTTTATTCTTCCAGCCACAGGAATTTTTTGTGTTTTTGTAGGGGTGGGGGATGTTAGAAATTCCTCTGTGGAAATAGAGAAAAAATGATTGTTTAAAACCTTTTTTTTCTTAAGTGCAAAACTGAATGCAATATGAGTCTAGAGATGACTTTGCAAACTTCAGCATTATTTACTTTGAATATTTAACTGAAATCAGAAAGTGAATGTCACAAAATAACTGACTTGAGCATATTTATTAGATTGATTAGCCAGCCCACAAGTTATTTTGTATGAAAAGTTGAAAATGAACATCAGCACAGACTACGATTAATACTATATGGTAGTGACCTTTGTGTGAGAGCCAAAAGTTTCTTTCTGTCTCTCATATAATTGCTCCACCTAAATACAAGCGAGAGGAGATAAATATAAATAAATGGATAGAAAGCTGAGGTTCTAGCTATTAAGTAGGAATTATTTGAGAGTTGGGTTACTTTAATCAGAAAAAAAAAGTTTGCATTATGTTCATCAATAAATTTCATAATTTAGGACAATTGGAATCATTTTTTTAAACTTTCATAATAGTTCATATATTTTTGTGCATTTTTCCATCTCAGTTGCAATTCCCTTGGGTTACCCATCACCACAATTGGAATCATTTTAAAACTATGTTGGTCAAAAGATTTTCTGTCAGGCATTAAATAACAGAATAAAATCCCACCTGTTCCCACACACTATCATGCAGCACATCTCTTCTACGAATACCACTGTTGGTATTTTGGTGAATCATTTTCAGGTTTGTCTTATGCCTTTATAACATGGTTAAACAAATATACTAGGAGCTTAATATACAAATTATTTTATAACCTCCTCTCTTCACTCACCTACTGCCTTAGTTCTTTAGGTTATATCCCTTGGTGTTTCAGTAACATAAAAGCAAACTATTTGAGGAATTTTTATCACCATAGAAAGTGAAATAAAATATTTTAGCTTTTAATATATTTACTACTGACAGTATTTCCTAATAGGAAAATATTTTTGAAAGCATTTCACCTTGAGTGAAACTGTCATTGTGACAATACCAAATAAAATTTCATTTGTCAACTTTGTGTTTTAACTGATAAGGAAGCAATGCCATGCTCCCCAGATTCATGGAAAATTTGGGGCAGGGCATCTGCCTTAACACGAGTGGCCCACAGGAGAAGCTTAAAATAAATATCTCCCCTTTATAGTAAAAAACAAATGAGATGAAGGAATTATTTAATAAAATTATTTAATGAAAATGTCAGAATTGGGGGGAGGGAAATGCACGGAATTATGGTGATGGCACACAGGTGACTTGGTGATGGGAAACCCGCGGGGATTACAATTGAGATGGAAAAAAAATGCACAAAATGATGTAAAAATAAACTTTTGTAATAAAAAAAAAGAAAAAAGAAAATGTCAGAATTACTGCACAAATGTCAATATTAGCATTTTAGGGTGAAATCTTCCAGACTTTCTCCCTTTTTTTATGGAGATAATGCAGCATAAACATCTTTCCATGTAAAAACACAATTGTATCTTCATTTTTCACAACTGTATAGCATGTGTGTGTTTCAGAGGGGTTTTTTGCCAGGGACTTTGTGAGAATGATTTTTTAAATGTAGTTCCTTGGGCATGACGCAATAGGACAGAATTTTGTGACTCACATAATAATAATTTCTCAGGACCAGAAATAAAAGGAACACAAAAGAGCTCAAGGTATAATTACTGATGTTTCATGTAGTGAACATGTATTACTTTCATGATTAGAAGATACTACCAAAATGAGGAAGGTAGAAAGGAAAAAGAGGAAGGAAAGAGAAAATATGTAATATGGTTTAAAGCCATATAGACATACAAACTATATCCCATTTCATTGATTATATGTGTGTTAGTATGGGTCCTCATAGAAGTAGGTAGCAAGTGGTTCTAAAATATAGAAGGATTCTGTGAAACAGACTGTGAAAAGAGTCAAATAGGGCTTACGTCACTAAAGAGAGGGAAGGAGGGAAGCTGACTGGGGGAAATATTTCAGACTGCCTCGAAGTCTAAGGATATCTTGCCAAGACTATGGGGTACCTTGAGCTGAGTATGTCATCATGGAGTCCCTCATCTCCTGAGATACTTAGCAGCACATTACATTCCGTCAGTGACTGGGACAGCCTGCCACTATTCAGTCTTAGTACAAAGGTTGCAGTGAATTTTACTCCATATTGTTTGGATAACTAGTCAGTTATGGTTACTGTAGTTGGAGTATGTGACTCACATGCTCATCACATTACATAACATGACAATCCCAGTATATTGAAATTTTACATTAGTTACTAATGAAAATTATATTTCAGTACAATCTATAAAGTGCTTAAGGAATCACATTTAAAAATTCATTCTCACGGGCCCTCCCTGGTGGCGCAGCGGGTTAAAGCACAGCACTGAGAAGCTAAAGCCACTTCCGCATGAGTTCGATTCCCGCCTGCCCCGGAGGAGACCACATGGCGCAGCAGACCTCTCCTGACCCGCCCGCTGCTCCTCTCAGCAGTGTACTTCGTTGATCTGCCTGTTCTGCTCCCCACTCTGTCTCTGGTGAAGCCTCTCACCGCCCCTGCACCTCTGGCCTGTACCCCAGTTCTGTATGCATAAATAAATAAATCTTTAAAAAAAATTCATTCTCACAATCTATAAAGTCAATTTCAGTAATTGTTGTCAATAAACTATTTAAATCCCTAACCACCACAAACTTTTGTCTTCATGGTTTTTTCTTCTTTTCTGTTTTATTTCTAATGTATTAAAAACATGCTTATCACAGCTACAAAGATCGCATAAATTATTTTCCTATGTAAGAGGCGTCATTTTCTGCTGAAATGTGAACATTTCTAAAAGGCAATAGCAGTAACAAAGTCCATGATCTGTAATTTTGCCTTTACAGGTTTGGACAGCATAAGCATCAGTCTAATATTAGCTGAAATAGTTACCTGAGGATAGTTTTATAACTAGATAAACCTAAAATCTGTAGCTATAATATCTAGATGAGAAACATTTATAATGGTAAGCTCTGGATCACATTAATTATATATTTTGCAAAAGGAAAAGAATATATTCTATTAGCAATTAATTTTAGCTACTAGGTTCCTAATTTCTTGGTTCCTAATTTCACAAGCTGTAGTATCATGAGATATAAAGAACTGAGTATGAGATATAAAGAACTGAGGTTAAGCAAAAAATGAATATTATGAGTAAAACTGCGTCATGGTATGAAGGAAATCTAAACTGTTGTTTTCAAATCAAATTGATGGATCTTTGAAATTCATTAACTGTTTTATTTTGTAATAATTCTTAAAATTTATTATGTCATTGAAATATTTTAGTTGCTGAAAATCATGTAGACAATTGCTTAGTGGACTTTATTAAAAACATTACAAAACTGGCTTCGAAGGTCATCTGAAGTAGCTTCCAAGGAGTAAGCAAGTTCAGACAGTTTAGAAAAGCATTAATATCAGGGGGTCCACTCATGTAAGGAAGTAAGATTACCAAAAGAGTCCATAAAATAGACCATAGATATTTTAGGGGATCTGTCAGTTTTCTACCATAGGGTATAGGGAAGGGATGGCTAGACTATATTCAGCTCTAACCACGAATGCTTCTGCTGTCCTGTCTTGGATGCGGTGGAAGGGCAATGAAAGAAACTCTATTTTCAGAGTCAGGATACATTATTGGGCTAATAATAAGTGATGGGGACTGTTCTGTATGTTGGAATTCATCAAGACACAGACTCCATTCTTGTCTCCTTTGGCTTTTGGGAAAGAAGTGCTTCCCTGTCAGGCATATTCACTGCCCACTTTCTGAGTCAGTCTTTGAATTTGTCTTTGAATAAATCTCAAGCCCAAACAGAAAGTACTCTTGATTATTCTAAAATCACTTAACAAAAATGTCTCCAATATTTGAAATAGCCATTTTTAATAGTAAGCAACATTTACTATTTTGTCACTTACTACTACTAGCAAAGTAGTATTAAAATAGATTTTTGTCCCTTTCTGGATGTTCTTAAGAATTTCTTAGAACTCTGAAAATCTCCTGTATCTGTTCCCATGATCCCCGAAGATGATCAAACTTTTCAATCTAATGTATTTACTGACATAGAAAAATAAATTTAAAAGTAAAATTAAAAAATAACCTCAGCTTAAGCTGTGCCTGCTGATTTTATAGTCTTCAATTGCCTGCTCCACAACAGCCCAGGACATGTGTTTTCTGCCTGAAGTTCAACTGAGATTCTGTATCAACCCACTTAGCTGCATCTTGACAATTTCCTAATATTGTCTAACCTTTCTCTTCCAGGGGCAAGAAGATATTTCCAAGTACTGTCAAACTCAACACCACTCGCCTGCCCTGTGCTGCTGCTTGTTACCTACTAATTCATTTCCATCAAGATCAACACCAACACTAACATACACTCTGCTAAATAATGTGTACGTATATGCCTTTGAATACTGATTATTTCTGACTACTTACCTCAAAGATAATTCTATAATCCTAAAGAAATTACATTTATCTGTCTCACTTATAAAGTCCTTGACAAGTATGTACATACATGTGGACAATTGAGTGAAGCATGCCATCTGTTGGTGACATGCATTATTAATTTTTAGACAGCTTGTTTCTATGTGCTTGCTATTCTGTACTATTCTTGAGACTATAACATTGTGCCTCTAAACACAATCATATTACTACACATATTATTAGCATGGAAGCAACAGCTAGTAGTATTTGATTTGGAGGAGTGGCAAATGTGAAGAAAGTAAGGAAGGTAAATACTTTTATACTACTCTGAACAAAGAAAACCACTGCAAAGAAAATGAATGATAATTTACCCTAATTTTGAAGAAAAATTGAAGAAATACCCTTACTGATAATTCACATGTAGCTAGAGTTTGTAATTCAACAATACTATAGGTGAATGTTCACAGCTATAATTCTCAGTATTAGAAAACTAGAATTTTGAGATGAGAATGTATAACTAACATGAAATAATCAAGAGGTAATGTCAGCAAAGTGGCAAAGTAGGAAGTCTGGACCATCCTTCCCTACCACCTTACCAATTCAGCAACAGCTTATGGATAACTTCCCTTTGTGAGAATCCATAAATTAAGTGAAAAGCTTATATAATCCAGGTGACCATGAACCCAAACTCATCAAAGCTGGCAGAGAGAGGAGGGGCAACTTCTGGCTGGAGACTATGCCCCAATCAAAGGCATAAAGTTATAACTCTTGACATATTCCAGAGGAGGGAAAGATTTGGTTTGTGGTTCAGTGACACAAATTTCCTGCAAAGGGTCCCAGAGAACTGATCCCTGTTTTCTTAGTCTTGGACCTTACATGGGTCCATCACAACTTAGCTGCCCTAGGGGAAAACAGAGATGGCAACTTGGGTTGCCCCTTTTGCCCAGTATAGAGAGAACAGATGAAGAAGTAGAGGTTTCTAGAGACACCATACATCCCTTATAGACAATAAGGACATATGAGTTCTTGTTCTAACAACCACCCAACCTTTGTATCAGGAGCAAAGTTCTTTGGGTAGCCACTTGTCTCAGGCAGATGGTCAGCAGGGTAGGTGTAGCTCTAGAGGACATGAATGTCTGAGAGTGGGTACAGAGAAGCAAAGTGCACACGTACACACCCACCATGCATGGTCATTTCAAATGGCACAAACAACTTCACCAACCTTGTAAACCCAAAGGTATCTAACTTGTCCCACTGTGTCCCAGGTCCCTGGAATTTGCTAGGCTTAGCTTTGAGGCTTCAAACCTGCTAGGAACTGCATAATATGTCTGGCAGGAAACAGAATTTGATTCAGGAATTGGGGAAAGAGAAAGTAATGAGTTGGTACCATAGGAGGCCACCGAGGTGATGCAGGGGTTAAAGACAGCATTATCAGGCTGTCTGTAGCCACTGTGACACAGTTCTATTCCCGCTGGCCGGGCTGGGGTGATGGCCAACTGATGCGAATGGTGCAGTGTCTTGCCCACTGCTCTCCTCAGCAGTGTGTTTCAGTGCATCTGCCCATTTTGCTCCCACTCTGTCTTGGGTGTCTCTCCTCGCCCCCCACCCTGGCACCTCTGGCCTACACTCCAGTTCTTGTATGTATAAATAAATAAATCTTTAAAACATAGTAATAATGTGGTACTGTACTTTAGTTTTTCTCAGGATTCTCAAACATTGGAAATAAGTAATTAATGGACTCCATTGCATCATAGGCATTAGATGCTCCATGGACAGCATTTTTCAAAATACTAACTCCAAATTGGGCTCGGATAGAATCTGGAGATAGGAGTTTTGCTTCCTCTGGGTCTGTGGGTCCCATCAGTCTTCTCCATTCTGAAATAGCATTCCACTTGGTCAGAACCATGACCAGAGATGGACCCCTGCAAATAATAATGCTTTCAGTTGACCGTTGTACACCTGTAAACTGTATATACATGGCTAGACAAAATGCCACAGCTTCCCTTAGTGAGTTGCTCTGTTTGTTTTTGTCCTTGTCAGTGTCTTTCAACAGGTTTTGTGCCAGAAGAATGCAGTAGTTTAAAAATTTCAAGGAATATATACCAGATACTGTCCCAAGTAGTTTCAACATATTTGTTTAGTTTTCACAATAAAACTATGAGGTAGGGGCTGTTACTATTCTCATTTACCGACAAGGAAGCTGTAGCATGGATTAGGTCTCATGACAAATCAGGGATTTAAAAGCAGAGATTTAAAAACCAGACAGCCACTCTAATACGAAAACCTAAGGAAATTTAAAAATAGAGGGAAGTAGGAAGGAAGGAATGGAGGGAGGGAAGGAAAGAGGGAGGGAGGGAAGGAAAAGAAGGAAGGAGAGAGGGAGGGGAGGGAAGAGAAGGGGAGAAGGGGAGAAGGGAAGGAAGGAGAGCAAGAGGGAGGGAGGAGGTAAAGAGTTAAGGAAAAAGAAAGAGGAAGATAGAGATGAAAGGAAGGGAAAAGAATATAAATGAATTCCAAATGTCAACAAGGTATTTTCAATCAATGAAATTACCTGAAGTGTTTTCATAAATGTTTGCATTTTCAACTTCTATAATGAACACTTGCTACATTTATAGTGCAAAGAACTATATATACGAAACTTACTCAGAAAATATTTCCAATAGATCTTTATAAAACTCCTTTCCTGTTACTTTTGAATAAATTTTTCCAACTTGCTCTTCATTTAGGGCCATTTCCTTTGCCTGTGTTATATCAAATCCATCCTCTTTGATACGCTTTAGTATCTCCCCTAGGAAAATAGGTATTTGGTAATCTTGCTGATTGCCTCTATTTCATATTGATTAATATAATTAAGAAAAGTAATAATTTTACTTGCATACTATGATTTATAAAACCAAAACGATGCTAAAAGAAACAGATTGGCACTGAGAAGAATTTGACATTAATAAAGATGTTCAGTCTCTGAGCTCTACTTTCACAGAAACCACTTTAAACATCTAAGGACTATAAAATGGGGCTAGAAAAGAGTATGTTCCTAAAATTGAAGACATGTTTCATCTCCATGTTCAGATGTCAGTGGATTTCTTGCTATATTTGGACTGAAGGAAAGAGCTCATCTGAAACTCTTCTCCCCGAAATAGCAGGGTACCATTGAAGAAGTTACATAAAGTATATAAAAAGAAATTCTCATCAGTAACCTAACTTTGAAGGTTATTTTCAGTGAACTAACTGAGAAACTGGGCAATCTGTGGTAAAATAGTCCTTTCTTTGTTCCATTCAAAACATTTATATGTGCTATACTGACTGCTAAAGGCCAAGTATGAACACAGCCAAGAGGAAGCCTAAGAAAGACACTGTAGAAATGAATGTGACTAGAACATCCTCCAGCTATTGTCTGGCCATTATTATAAAGAGTAATGTCAGTTTCCTAGAGCCACATGTTTGAATAAACTTTAACCTTTCTCAGAGAATCAGAGATGTCTTTCAGAAAGGTTGACCTTTGGATTAAACATGGGAAGAATAAGACATGATCACCAAATGGACAAGCAGAGCAAGAACAATGTGTGCACAGCACAAAACACATCGAGTTCACAGGGGATACAGAAAACACAGCATGAAAACCTACTGGACCTGAAGTTGGCCAAGTAAATGAATTATAAATAACTGCAAGTTAGGAAGGACTCTTAACTTTTCTCTAAAGACAATGTGAAGCATCCAAAGCATTCTAAACAGGAAACTATACAGATTTACACTAAAAAAAGGTCACTTCCTTTGCAGTATGAAGAAAGAATTAGGGTGAAGTCATTGGAAAGAGACTACAATCAAAATGAAGACTAATGCAGTCTTGGGAAGGTGCCACTTGCCAGGAAAGGAGGCATCTTGAAAAGGAAAAATCTCTTGTACTTCATGGGAAACAAGTAGCAGAGATCCATGTCCATAGATAGAGAACAATGCACAAATAAGAGATGATCCATTCTACAACATTAACATAATTTTCCATGTTAATATATGTATGAAGAAAAAAAATCATCATTTCCGTCAACCCTTAAAAGGACTTCAACAAAAATTTAATACAAGGGGAAGAGAGAAGGATAGGTAAGGAAGTAGAGAGAGAACAAATATGACAAAGTTAATTGTTGAATTTAGATAGAGGCCTATGACTGATCCATTGCATTCTTCTTTTAACTTTTCTATAGTTTGAAAATTTTCATGTGATGTGGAGAAATTATATACATTGGCTTTTATCTTAACATACTTACTTCTTTCTTCAACTGGTATATGTGGTTTAATCAGTACAAAAGTGGTTTGAGGAGGAAAGAAATACTGTATATCCCTTTCAGCAGTTTCTAAGGAATCACTTCCATATAACTGATTGATAGGCAAACCCTCCATTGCAAATTGTGCACATAAACTTTGAAATAGAAATAAAGTTAACATTGTTACAGCATAACATAACAAAATATAACAAAATATACAAATCTATTTATATAAAGCTTTTGTTATCAAACAAGAACTGCTTATCCTGACCTAGGCAAAAGGAAGCATGTTACCTCCTTCCAAGGAGGCATTTAGTCTTAAGAAAAAAGGCATGAGCATTTAAATAATCACAATGATGGCCATTCAGATAACTAAGGAGCAGGGAATGTATACTCAGTGCAGTGCAAAAGCACTGGTTGTGCTATTAGCTCACTGTGTGATATTGGGCAATTTTGTAATTTCTCTGTATTTTAATTATCTCAAATATAAATATGATAACAAAACCTGGTTTGGAAGATTCTTGGGAGGATGTAATTAGATTGTATTGGAAATATGTGTTCCATATTAAGCTCTGAATAAACATCCCAAGCCCTTCTTCCACCACTAATTTTTTGTCAAGCATGGAAATGGCATTTGACTCTAATGGAAATTATCATTTTGACATGTTTTTCATTTATTTTACAAATATATTTGTATTACTCCATATTCAAACAGAAATTAAAATGGCTACCATGAAAAAAGTTGGTCACCCATGATATGAATCTCACCTCATTGGATCACAGTCTATGGCTTTTTCAACGGTGCTTGGACCTACTAACTCTTTCCAGTGTTTTAATCCATTGTCCCTTAATAAAACAAGAGCTAGAGATGGACCACTGATTAGGAAAGAAAAGATAAATTCATAAAATATGGCTCAGTAATTAATTATATAGAGGCAATGTAGTATACTTATTAAATTGATGAAAAAATCAAAACAATCTTTTAGCAAGAGCCTGAAATTATTTCCCAACCTTATACTCTCAAGATATATTTAGAAAGGAATGGAAGCAGAGAAAGGAAGAAACTTAGCTCTGACAGATGGTTCCTATATTGCTCTAAGTGCTTGCTGATTTAGCTATGCTTGCTGACTTCTGTCTTAGTTGTATTTCACTTCCTTTTCTAGAAACTAAGAGATTTCTAGCATCATTCTCCTAGCACCAGTAATCTTTAGAATTAGCAAGGCCCTTGAGAGAGTCAGTTTGATGGTGTCTCACACCGTGGTTTCTAGCATTCAGTTCAATTGGGCCCTAGTAACCACCTGAGAGCTTCCCTTTACTCCAGTAATATTCCAGGAGGACTAGAGAAGACCAACAGTTGAGAAGAGAACTGAGATGTGAGCAAGACTGACAAAGTAGAATCCTGCACATTTACAGAATATAGAGGTTTGACAATTTGAACAGAAAGCATGGTTAAAAGATTTAATTGTTCAAAATTAATCAAATTGTGCTTTTTAAACCTGAAATATACTATACCTGGTCATGTTTTCTATAAGATTTCCAAAATAACTTTTATTTTCATATTCTTTACACAGTGTTTGTGCTTCAACTTCTGATAATACTAATTGTCTTTGCATCTGTATTTTAAAGCCATTTTCTTCAATAATATTCAAAACATCCTCTAAAAAAAGTTACATAGTAAGTTTTAAACTATAGGCTTTAATACACTATGCATTATCATGAGAGCATATAGTACAATATTTTCTCATATGAAATTTAAAAGCTTACGGGCCCTCCCTGGTGGTTCAACAGGTTAAAGTGCAGCACTGCAAGCTAGCCACAGCTGCTTCAGTGTAAGTTAGATCTCCAGCCCTGGAGGAGACCCATATAGCACAGCAGACCTCTCCTGTGAACTCCCCTCAGCAGGGTACTTTGTAACTCTGCCTGTTCTGCTCCCCACTCTGTCTCTGGTGAATCCTCTCACCAGCACCTCTGGCCTGTACCCCAGTTCTGTATGCATAAATAAAAAAAATATTTAAAAACAAACAAAAACTTAAAAGCTTACAAAAATAGCTTATTAGATAATAATTTAGAGTAAACAATATTTATCACAGGTGAAGTTGTTGCCTCCACATTTTCACTACATAGAAATCAATGCACATATGCGCAAATTTGTAACACCCAAGTGGAAAATCACTTTGCTTGGCTTTATTCATAAATACTGAGTTATGTATATTTCATCTAACATGTACAATTTTCCAAGTGTGTTTAATTAAAGGAAAGTTAGAATAGTCCTGACATAGTATCTTGAGAAGACTAAATACAATATGTGTAATCAAATGAACTCCAATAGCATGGTGTATAACATGAGCTAGTAACATTTATTCTAATATCCTGAGGAAGGACACACTGCAGGACATCTACCAAAGATGTATTTGGGTATAAAACCTCAGCAGCAAGGGAAACAAAAGTGAAAATAAACAAGTGGGACTTATCAAGCCTAAAATCTTTGGCATCTCAAAAGAAATAATCACAAAACAGTAAGCCAGCCCACAGAATAGGAAAAAATATTTGCACATGAGACATTTGATATGGTGTTAATCTCCAAAATTTACAAATTGTTCACATAGTCCAACAACAAGGCAATAAGCAAATTTAAGAATGTGCAAAGGACCTTAGAAGACATTTCTTTAAGGACATTCAGATGGCCTATAGACATATTAAAAAAAAAATCCCAACATTACTTAATGTAGGAGAAATACAAGTTAAAACCACGTTGAGATACTGCCTCAATCCTGTGAGAATGACCCATATAAAAAAGAATGGAATTAACAGTTACTGGTGATGTTGCAGTGAAAAAAGAACTCATCTGCTGTTGGTGGGAATGCAAACTAGTACAGCCTCTGTAGATAACAGGATGGAAATGTCTCAAGAAAAGAAAAATGGAAATTCTACTTGATCTAGCAATACTGCTATTAGATGTCTGTCTACATAACATGAAAAAATTAACACAAAAAGATCTATGACCTATGTATATAGAAGCACTGGTTACAACTACCAAATCATGGAACAAACCCAAGTGCCCTTCAATATATGCCTGTGAGGCATATATTCAATGGAAAATCACACAACTGTAAAAACAGACTAAATGTTGGCATTTGGCACAAAATAGATGAACTTTGAGGTGATTATGTTGAGTGAAACCAAAACGTGAAAGGCAGATACAGAGTGGTTTCACATCTGCAGAATATAAATTAAAAAAAAAAAAACAAAATATACAAACAATAGAAGAAATAAAAATATGAGCTTGTCAAGAAAGAAAATAATTATTACCAGAGGGAATAAGAGAACAGGTGAAGGGCACAGAGGAAGATAGGATATAAGCATGGATGCTTCCATGGAGGCAATTAAATAGGAAAATCTTACAATATTGCACATATTAATCAAACAATAGTTATAATCACTTTTAATGTGATTGCTTCTCATCTCATTTTATGAAGCTTGTATTACTGTTTACACCAAATACAGATAAAAGAGATTACAAGCAAATAAAAAAATATAGCCCTAATAAGTGTGGATACAAAAGTCCTGAATAAAACATGTAAAATTCAAATCTCACATTATGTAAAAAGGACAATATACAATAGCCAAGTGTGGTTTATCTGTAGGTTGCAAGAATGATTCAACAATCAAAGGTCAAAGTAACTGCCATATCATCCAATTCAAGAAAAAATAACAATGAAATTAGTAGATATCAATAAAATGAAGTATTTATTCATGATAAAAAAAGAAAATTCCCCAAACTAGGGATAGGTGGAAATTTACTTAATTTGATAAAGAGCATATAAAGTTAACTTTATACTATTGGTAAAAACCTTCATGTTTTCAGAGAGAAGGTGGGTGGGTGAGTTCTCACCTCTCTTATTCAGCATTATACATTAAGTTCTAGCTAGTCTAATGAGGCAAGCAAAGGAAATAAGAGGCACACAAAGGAAGAAGTGGTCTTAATTTGTGGATGATATTTTTATGTACATCAATGGTCCTCAGGCAGAAATTTTACCCCGGGGGAAGTGTGACAACGTCTGAAGACATTCTGGATTATAACTGCTAAAAGCAAGAGGAGATCTCTACCTGCACCTAGTAAGTAGACACCAATGATGTAAGTAAACATTTTATAATACACATACACAGACCCCTCAACAAAGAATTATAGTCCAAATGTATGCAGTTTCTAGGTTGAGAAGTCCTGTTCTATGTAGAAATCCCAAGGAACTAAATGTATTTAGATACTTCATTAGAAGAGAGTAGGATGAATATAAACTGCATTTCCATTCACACAGTAAAGACTCATTTATAGTGTCCATTTATGGTGTGCTTTTTTACTCTTCCACATTCATTCTGGTACTAAATATGGTATGAGATTAAAAATAACTGGCGCCTTTTAAGTGCTAGGCATTTGCTGTTTTCTCATTTGTGTTTTACACCTGAAAAATAGACTTGATAAAGTCTCCTATTCAAGCCATGCTATTAATGAAGGTTTGACCAAGCTTTGAATTTAAGACATTTTATTGAAAGCTCCCAATCTTTATGAAGTTGGAACCCCTCCATGTGAAAATTTACTTGAACAAATTCATAGGCTAGAAATGCTTTGTAAACTCTTTAACTATAAAAATGCTGTATTCTTTCTGATTGAGAAAGTAGTAAATTAATGCTAACTGAATTTTTTATTTTGTGGATTTTTTCTTCATTGTTAAATATTAAAATAATACCATTCAATTTAATTGTACCAGAGTCTATTCAAGCCCCATGTATAAAATACATAAACAATTTATACTCTCTTACCTTTTCGTTCTTTAAGGAGATCTGGTCGAATTAATGCCAGTATCCTTTCTGATTTAAAACTTTTCGTATTTTTAAAATCAGGAAAAAATATGTCAATAAACTTATTAACATTATCTATATTATCTTCAACATCACAAAAATGAGATAAATGTTTTCTTTCCAGATATCCTTGCAAACTTTTGGAATTCAAACAAAAACCAAATTATTATAAATTAAAATTTAATAAATATGAGTGAAAACTAAAACTAATATCTTATAGTTTAATAAGTCAATAAAAATTGGATTTCACAGTTTTATTCCTCTAGCACATCAAAGAATATGTATTAAATCCAGCTTATTGAAATATTCCATTAATAAATTACATTGACTCATATGATTGACTTAGGAGAGGCTAAAAGAAGATAAAGATACTATATTTAAACATTTTTTTTCTTTTCTCTACATAAAGCTTTCAAAACAATTTCTCTTTTTCCTTTAAATTTTGTTTTTAAGGCTTATTTAGGAGCACATTGAAGCTTTTTCAATAGATTTTGGTCATCTGTTATTCATTTTCACAGGATTTTAATAAGCAAATAAATGTGGTGAAATCTTTTTATTGATACTTTATTTATTTTTAATTGAGGTAATATTGGGATAGCCCCACCAGTTATTACCAATGTTAGTGCCAAGTCACCCATATTCCACCACCATAGACCAGTGTGTTTCCTTCCATCTTGTTCTTTTGCCTCCCCCAGCTCCTCACCAAAATTCAGTTTGGTGGATTTCAGTTCCATAGACAGCTACCAAGGGTTAGTTTTTAAGTTTGTCTTTGTCTGAAATCTTATTTTAAAAAAAATCATTAAAATTTTCACTGTAAACCAAGAAATTTTATTTATGAAAATTAAGGTATATATACACACCTATATGAATACACATACATACATACATATATATACATACATGTACATATATATGTATATCAGCACTACCTTCTTTTATGCCAATTGCATTAATGAGTCTCACACTTTTTTAATAGCTCAAAAATTTTGGTATGAATCTAATATTATTTTCAACCCAACACTCTCCACTCAACTCTTTCCTTGCCCACTGATTATCACTGTCACTTAAATGTCTGAAAGTAAGTACTACTGTTGACAAAACTCATTATCAATAGTTGATTTACCTCATGAGTCCCTCTTATCTGAGCATCTTAGGATTCATATGAGGTTCTGCTTGCTAATTAAGCAGTCTATTATAACTAAGAACTAACAGATATAGCTAACTAAGGAAAGTGACTACAATTCATTAATAAGATAGCAAGGAAAGTTCTGGAGATTCCAAGGCAGAAAGTATAATGGAGATGGGCTGCCCAGCAGGGACAGACATACATTATTAAGCCTCAGGATGCAGGTATTTTTAATATGTTTTTGTTCACCTTTCTTTCAGACAAGGTTGATTATCTTTATGTTGAACACTTAATTTTCTGATTTAAAAGCCCATTGGAAAATGTATATGCAATTCTCTAGTTCTCAGCAATTTATAGTTACTAACTACCTGCTTTAAGTAAAAAGTCAGAGTACACTTGATGCATTGGACACAGAAAAGGTGGGAAAGGAATGTTGGGAGACAGAAGAACTGGGTTGGGAGAGATTATGCATAGTTTCAATCTGTTCCTGGAACCCCAGGTCATGAGGCCAGACTGGTATGACCAGCTTAAGAAGACCTATTCTTTCTCTTCTAATCCACTTGAAATCCACTTTCAGAACAAGTCAGAACAATCTCAGATTTGCCTTCAATATTCAATACTTTTGATTATATGGAAGACATACTTTGGCTTCAACATAAAACTGAGATAGCTGCCATTATACTATATATTATACTATATACTATACTATTCATTACCTACTAACATATTGTACACTCTATTCTCAAAGTACCTGTCTCGCTTTATCTTCCTTATCACAGGTTTAGATTTAATTTCCATTTCATAATCCTCAAAGAATTTGTTAGTTTGCATCTCAGAATTATGTTTAGTGTCTTTCTGGGAAGGCAGCTCATTTCCTTGAGATACAACCATAATATAGCTTAGGGCTCTTGTCATGAAAGAAACAAAATCTTCAAAGTCAGGCTACAAAATAAAATCGTAAGCTGCTTACTTCAGGCTTTTGATATAAATAGATTGATATAAATAAATTTGATATAAAATGGCAGCTACTACCCACGTCAAGTAACAGCTTCCCCTTCATGCTCACTGGGCAAGGGAATGTTATCCTTATAAGCCTCCTGTTAAATACGTTTTTGAAGAGTAGAAGTCTACAGTTAGCAAGGATCAATTTCAAAGACACACTAATTATTATCCTCAAACTTTACTATACTTTCAAATCATCTGGAAAGCTTGTTGAAACACAAAATCGTTGAGCCTGACTGAAGAGTTTCTAATTCAATAAGTTCAGGGTGAGTTCCATGAATTGAATTTTCTCAAAAGTTCCCAGGTAATGCTGATGTAGCTGTTCCAAGCTCTTCCTTTTATGTATGTAGAAACCGAATACAAAAAATATAGTTTTGAGTGATGCAGTTAAGTTTGTGAAACAAACACGTTCTGTGGTGTCTCACATAGTCACATGCAACTAGTGACACTTCGAATGTGATTAGTGCACATTCTACATGAACTTTTAATGTTATTTAATTTTAATGCATTTGAATTCAAACTCCACATATATCTAAGTGGCTATCTTATTTATTTCAACAAGCCATGTCTTTTCAACCCAAGCCAGTATACTTTCCAAACACAATAAGACTTGAGTATATCCCCCACAGACAAAAGAGAATTTACAACATAGTTTTGAGAAAGGCCTTAGGTAAAGAAAGAACTAAAGGGTTCCTGTGAAGTTTATGAAAAAAAGTATTCAATTTGAGGCATTTACCTAGAGAAGAGGATTGGCGGTTTGACTTCAGATGCTGCTGGAGGGAGTCTTACAGGCCATAAAATAAAGAGGTCTGCATTCTGACTAACTGCAATTGGATCCTCCAATTTTGCACAGCTGCCACTATTTCTTTTGTTAAAGATTGATTGATTTATGCATACAAGAACTTGGGTACAGGCCAGAGATGCAGTGTGGGAGGTGTGGTGAGAGGATTCACCAGAGTCAGAGTGGGGAGCAGAACAGGCAGATCTACTGAAATACACTGCTGAGGGGAGCAGCAGGTGAGACAGGAGAGGTCTTCTGAGCTATGTGGGTCACCTCCCTGCATGGGGATCGAACTCATGGCTGCCAATAGCTTCATAGTGTTGCACTTTAACTTCTTCTGCCACCAGGGAGACCCCAGATGCTGCTATTTCTGCAGGAAATTTCAATGCAGTCACTTTTGACATTACCTCAATTTGGACACCAAAAAAAAGGGGGCACTTGGAGATTATTTGATTGGTCAGGCTTGTCATTATTTTCTACATTGAAAATCTAAAAGTTATAGTAATCCACTATATTTGAAAATAATAGGTTTTTAATAAAACCTTCTTACCTCATTTGCTATAGAACTGTAGAAGTCCCTTACTTGCTCTTCAGTGAGAAATCTCTTATCCTCTGCTTCTATGGTAAATCCTGCCTTGATAATCTTCAATTAGAGTGCGAGAGCCAGGCATATCACAGGACCACATGTAAAACAAGTCAAGGACAATTGATCTAGACTTAAAAAACACCCAGATTTGAATACAATTCATATAAAGAACTAAGCACAATCCACAGGACACCAGGCATAAGGAGACTACAAATATTTAAAAAATAAGACCCTTTGCACGTCCCTTAATATTTAAATTATTAAGGTTTAAGCCAGGAATTCTATAATATTACTATTATTTAAGTCAATTGCCTAAATGTGGAAAAGCTGATTTAAAAGAAAGATATCATAGCTCTCTGAATCATTTGTAAAGACAAATTCATAAGTTTTTCTTAACCTGTTATTTTCAAAATTATTTTAACTTTCATTTTAAGTCTCTTATTGTTAAGGCTGTAACTCATAATCTAATATTTCTTATTCTTAAAGCAACAAAAAGGTCCAAATTGTGGGGGAGGATAGAATTTAAGATTCAGCCATCTTTTTGTTTTTTGTTTTTTGTTTTTATAATTTAATGAGAAATTGATTCAGTTTGTATATTCCTGGGGCATAATGAAATATAACAAAGAGAAGTTTTAAGGCACATATGGCAAGTTCAACAACTAAATAAAAGTGTTATCTGAGCAAAAAGTAAATCAGTAATTACATTAAACAATATCAATAATGAGCTCAGTTTGACTTGGGAGTGTCCAACATCAGACATGTTACCTTCTGTTAGAAATGCAGTTTCATTGACTTTGAAATTATATAATTTCAAAAAGTTGTATGGAATAGTAAACCATTGGTATAAGGTATTATCTTTGAAAACTTTATAAAGTATAAGAATATATAGGGGTCAGGGTACAGTTTTGGTGTCTCCTCTCCTCACACACACACCAGAATCTGGAAAGCAGGGATTATCTGTAGAGAGTTACAGTCATTAAATCGTTCCAGTTGAAAGGGAGACTTCATGAAGCCCCATGATGTCTGACTAGTCTGTTGCAGTTTAATCCGTGATAGTGCTGTGACAGCTAACGGAGGACCACAATGCGGGTGTTCATCAGCAGATATGTAACACCTGACATAGCTCCTGTCTCATCTCCTCTATTGCACATGCAACACTCCTTCAAATTTCAATCTACTTTTGTTAGGGATAGTATACTGGTCTCCTGAAATTAAAATTTGGCTGATCTCCTGCTTTTGGAAATGGAGTTCATAGCAACCCAGACACTTGTTTACATATGTCTACTGCTACTTTCTCAATGTGATACCAGATTTAAGCAGTTGCAACAGAGATCATATGTCATGCAAACTTTTGTTTTTCAGATATTTCTTCAGTAGTGTAACTTTAAATCACTTCTGCCTTACCCATTACAAGAAAAGTCTGCTAATCTCTGGATTAGAGTACACTTTTTCTTTAAAAAAAATATGTCACTCTAAAGCAAAATATTAAATACTTCCTTAAGCTATTATATTTAAGAAAGACCATATATTTACTATAACATGTGGACAGTAAAGCAGCTAATGTGAATTTATACAAGTTTGCATTGCTAATAACTAAGAAGTATGTTGCAATACAATATCAGAATTGTATTTTCTGCCATTTATGTTGGATGCTTGTAGAAGGGAATTATTTCAAGATGGGTAGGTCTTTGCAAAAACCAAAAATTAAGAGCCATCAGCAATTCCTAGCACCAGACGTTCACTGTTTTATTGTACTCTGAAGGATAAGCCTGTACCCGAATTTACAGTTAAGATCTATTATTTTGCAATTAATTAAAACTATCGTTGAGAAATAATACTTACATGTTCTCTAATTTCTACAGCTTTTCCAGTAATTACAGCATCAGGTTTGATAATAGCAAGCTCATAAAGATTCTCTAGGGAAAAAAAATATAGAAGAATTTCATGTTCTCGACATGAAGTCTAAATAATAAGGAATTTGGAGACTAAAAATGTGAACTATGAATTTCCAATGATTTTTTTTCCCATTTATAGATTTTACTAATTATTTTGCTTTAACTACCATAGTTTCTTCTTACAGAAATACAGGTACTCCCTTGTGGCATAGGGGTTAAATCTCAGTGCTATCAATGCTACAATCTGAGTTTGATCTCCAGCCAGGTTGCTAACCCACCTATAGTGCAGCAGGCCTCTCCTGTCTTGTTCACTGCTCTGCTTAGCAATGTATTTCAATAAATCCACCTGTTGTGCTCCCCCCTCTGCCTCTGGGAATCCTTTTACCACAACCTCCATTCTCCTGCACCTCTGGCCTATACCCTATTCTTCTATGCATAAGTAAATAAAAACATCTTTAAAAAAAGCATCACAGTAAGTTCCAGTTCTTATATCTGTATGTGGAAAAAGTCACACACATACAAAATGAGTAGGTAGGGACTAATTATAACACAATTTATATATATTATAATCATTCCCATTATACATCTAACTATGTGAGTATAGCTGGTGAATGGAGTTTCAAATGCAAGTAAACATTACAAACTGAGAGACTAAACAACTTTGGATTAATTTATGCATTATGATCAATTTCAGTACAAGGCAATTCACTGAGAAAATACTGCTTGCCTCTGTTCACTTGGAGTATATGAATGTCCACTCACACACCAACAAAGACAATCCAACAAAGGCAGAAATTTGTTAGCTATAAAGTAAAACAGGAGTTGGTCAGCAAGGGAGAAATTATTTTCAGATGATAAAGGTGAAATAAAAGAAAGCTTTTTCCAGATTAGTCACAGGCATACAGTTCCTGGTAATGGGTAACCGCTGGAGGGTTCCATGAATAGAGACCAAAAGAATGGCAGTGGGAGCAAAGAAGTTACTTTTTAATAGTTGAGTTGTTTTGCACAAATCATCATATATCCTACCAGTCCCTTATTAATGAACAGTGATGTCACCAATTTTGCTACTACAAGCAATGTTGTAATGAACAACCATGTACATAAAATCCCTTGCCATTATATTAAGGTCACTTTACTTACCAGGATTTTCACTTACTCCTTCCCCAGCATCTTCTGAATCTGAGTCTACAATTGCAATTTCTGAATACTATGGAAGAGAAATATAAATAAAACATAGTTATAGTTCAATGCAGGAACAAATGTTTGCAGAAATTTTGTTTTGAGAAAGTATTTATAATTTAAGGGATAGAAGGTAAAGTAGAAATGTATCTGCAATCATGTATTCCTGTTTCCTACTAAAATAAAATGAGAAATTTTAAAATGACAGGGGTGACTATCAGAGATGATTATAAGGTTAAAAATCAGAGATGATTATAAGGTTAAAAACAAGAAAGTTAAAACTTACGAAAAGCATACAGAATAAAATAAGAAGCAGAGATTAGCAATTAAGAAAGCATCAAACACATAATTATCACCTTAACCATTTGAAATAAGGTTAGTACAAATTAAGATGTTCTCTAAGAACACATTTCAAAGACTCGTATGAAAAAATGTAGAATACATTATTTTTTATATTTAGTACATCTCTACCTATCTATCTACTACCTACCTATGAGTATTTTCAAGTTCTTACTGAGGTAAGTTGATTTAAAAATGTTTCAGGTGCACAACATTATAATTAGACATCTGTACATATCACATCATTATCACCCTCTAAAGTTTATTTTCCATGTCCCACCATATAATTGACACCCATTACCTGTTTTGCCTACATTCTAGCCCCTAGCCCCTTTGGTAACCACTGCTCTCTATATCAGAGTTTGTTTTGTTTTGTTTTGTTTTCTTTGTTCATTTCCTTTGGTTTTTTATTTGTTCATTTGCTTTTTTACTTGTTCATTTTTTTAATGACCCACATATGAGTAAGTCATATTACATTTGTATTTCTTCTGATCTATTCTGCCTATCATAATACTCTCAGATCTATTCATGTTGTTGATCAAAATAAAGAGTATCGAACAGAAATAATAGAGTAGAAGAACACAATAAATGAACTGTAAAATTCAAAATAGTGGTGTTCAACAGCAGACTTCACACACACACAAAATCCCTGAATACCACAAAACAGTTGGTAGTTAGCACATCCACTAGACACAAGCTGGCCAGCAAGTTGCTGTAGTTACAAAATTTGATCAAAAAGAACCTTCCCACCCACACTGAGGCATTTCAACAGCAGTACAATGACTACAAATCCAATATGGATATTTTCAAATTATAACCAAGTAAGTCTAGCAAAAGATGGGCACAGCTGGTGACACTTCTGCCATAGATTGGTCACTGCTCCCCAGGACACTTCAGCAAGTTTTCTCAAGAGTTGAATGGTTTTCTCTCCTACAATCGTATGATACTGGATCTAGATCTTTGAATGACATTTTGCAAGGCTTTGATTTTGCTGAAAAATAAGAATCTCAGCAATCTATCAAGTTTGATCGAGTTCTTTGTACTTTCATGTTGCTATAATAAGCTCCTATGAAAGATTTTACACATACATAACATAACCAACATCAAGAATATAAATGCAAAATTACAAGAATAAGAAAATGAATATAGTATTGCAGAATTTCATTTACCTCATATTAAGAGACAACAATACCATTCCAGCTTAGTTTTATTTAGTTCATCTGTTTGGTTGTTTTCACTATAGATCACATAAATAAAGTCATATGGTTTATATCACTAAACATAACACCCCCTAGGGCCATCCATGTGGTTAAGTGGCAGGATTTAATCTTTTTATATATAGCTTAGAAAGTATTCCATTGTATATACATACGACATGTATTTTTCATCCACTCCCGTTATTTCCCGTTATTGTAAAAAATGTTGCAATAAACATAAGATGTATATGTATATATACAAAAATAAAAACAGATATTCCATATTATGCAATTAACTCACTTCTGGATATTTACCCAAAAAATACAAGAAAACTAAAATAAACTAAATTGAAGAAGTATATGCACTTCATTTTTTGATATTAAAATATTTCATTTTATTTAATAATATTACAGAGGTAATACATATCATACATTCAAGGTCTTACTACAATACTCT